CATCTACTTGTGCCTGTGCTTCAATTATTGTTTATAGTCCATCCAAGATTCAAGCAACTTTTCAATTAGTAGCTCAGATACAAACTCATCAAGCAATGTAATATTTTTAGCCTTTAAATTCTCAAGTAGCTTATGGTACTCATTGCTTTGAACTTTGATGCCTTGGTCTTTGATCATTGTCCAATGGTAGTAGATGCTAATGATGAATTAGTACCTTACCACGTCCTCAATAGTATATTAAAGGATGAGAGATTCTCAAATATCCTTGTTTTCCTTATAGGAACAATACATCGACAAATCATTAGATAATGCACTTAGTAAAGTGTCACGACATACCTTATTGGCTTGATTCTAATCTTAAATCTATTTGGTTATTGCCTTAGAATTTGGTTTTGAAGCGATAAGGGCGAACACAACTTCATACATGTTGAGCAATGTATGAATGTGTTCCTGCCAACAACAGAAGTTCTGACTAGCAAAGACTTCAATTTTAGAGACATTGGGCAAAGACTTGGCATACATCAAAGTAGCATGTGTAGACACCTAATTTCGTCCAGACCAACAAAAGCAATGAAATGGACGTTTATCATCAAAGAAATGGAGCTCCCAAGCATGGAAATAACAGGACATGATATCAGAAGGTTAAAAGCCCAAATAAGCTGGTTTTAGTAGCCCGAAACGGGCTGTTCCAAAACTAGAATGGGGCATTCTAATTTACAAAAAGGGCCTAAAACCCTAGTTTGGAACGAGCTGTTCCAGAATTGGAACGGGTTGTTCCAAGCTCTTAAAAAAGGCTAAAACCTACGTTTGGAACGGGCCGTTCCCAAATTGGAACGGACCGTTCCAAGTGACAAAAAAGGCCTCAAATCTTGATTTGGAACGGGTCGTTCCAGCATAGCAATTATGTGTTAAACGCACCTCTGGAACTGGACGTTCCGGTTTCAGAACGGGCCTTTCCCAAGTGCGTGATTAACACACAATGTTCAGATCCAGAACAGGCCGTTCCGGTTTTGGAACGGGCCGTTCTGGCAACTTTCTGATGCCTATAAATAGACAGCTTGGGCACAGTTCTCAGGGCCTCAAAAATTTCGTTCAAAACTCCTTAGAGCTCGAAATTTCTCTCTCTTTCCCTCCTATTGTATTTCTTGTGATTTGTGAGGCATTTGTGTAGTGTGAAAGGTTGCTACAAAGCACCTAGAATTTCCATATCGGAAGATTTAACAAAGCTTGCTATGAGGTATTTCAATCAATCTTCTTCTCTCTCTTATATTTCTTATTTTTGATGAGTATTGTTATAATAAACGCAATCATGTAGATATTTCAGAGTCAATTGCTTAATTTAAATTTCAAGCATGTAAATAGTTATTAATAAAAAGGGATTTAATATTTTTATTTTTATTATTTTTAATTTTAACTTCATCATAGGGTACCAATTAAGGGCGTTGTAGAGGTGCTTAATACCTTCCTTACATGTAACCGACCCCCGAACCCAATTCTGGTTATCAAGGCCGTTATTGGATCTTCAAAAACCTTTTTTTTTTCCAATATTTTGAGTAAAACATTGGTGACGATTCCATGAACTCATTTTTCAAAATCATTAATTAATGATTAGTCTGGTGTCCAGGCATTCCTTAATTGATGAGATATTTAAAAAGATGCCTAAACCATAGGTCGCGAGATCGAAAATTTTCGGGTTGCGACAACATGAATAGGAGCAGTGGTGGGTCGAGGATCATATTGTCATCCATTTGAAGTCTTTTAGATTGTAGTATAAATAGTTGACAAATATATTTCTTGAGGCGTGCTGAGTACTGTCTAAAGGACTTATTCGTAGTATCTACACAAGTCTCCTAGGATACAAAAGGAACGTCTTAGAATACAACTAAGGCTAGAGAACTAGCAAGAAGAAAATTTAGAACTCGAAATGGAAAAAAAAGGGAGAAGATGAACGAGAGAGCTTTGCTTAGTGTGTATTTCCCCTTCAATAGAGACACTTGTTTATAAGGGATTGGGGTATGAGAATAAAATAAAAGTCATCTAAAGAGAATAATAACTAATAAAGTTCCAAACGGTCAAAAATTAAAAAGCTATTAAAATGAGATATTATAAGTAATCAATTTCAGAATATACTAATATTGTCACTCTTCTTAAGCCCCTTGATTTTGAAATTATTTAAAATAATATCAGAAAAAGACGTAAAAATTTGGGATTGTGTGGGAATTCTTCCTTTTGTAATATCTGTTATACAACATAATATACATGAATGGTTAAATTCGAAGTGGTAACTCCCTAGATGAGTTTTTAATAAAATTAAAGTTGTTCTTAAATTCTTTAAAAATTAAGGATTTAGAGATTCTCAAATGTTTTCTTTTCATAGAAGTTACGCAAGACATTTCATTATGTCAAAGAAAGTATTTCATAGATTTTCTACATGATTTGAGTTTCCTTTGTTCTGAACCAACAAAGACTCCTTTAAATCCATCTATATGAAGATGTTATATCATACCAAAGGTGTGAAGAAAAGCAAAGAATGAGCAAAAACGTTGAAGGTTGAAATCCTTTATTGTTTTGTGATTTTGATGATTGGCCTCACACTTGATGTTATAGCATATTGTAGTGTATCGTGTGCTTATGTTAGTTAGAGTAGTTTGTCTTGAGTGGTTTTAGTTTTTTTTTTCTTTTACTTGGTAATTGGGAATCAAGTTATAACAAGTGAAACATTTTTTTTCCAAATTAAAATGAATTAAGTGCACAATAATTTGAATAATTATTAATTCAATTGGTCCTACAAATTTATTTGATTATAAAAGGTGAGCATTTGAGGAAGTTTGATTTTTCTAGGCTTTAATGTATCTTTAAGAAACTATTGTAATATAAAAAGTATGATAATATGTTACATTGTTCTCAAATTTTATTTTTGGAATTTAGAGCAAAGTAATTGACTACCACTCAAAATAATAAATTAAAAGATTTTTAAAATATTTTATGAAAATCAAATTCTTATTATGATTATCACTAAAGATAAACGGTTACAAAGGTTCATTGGCTTGTTTCTTATTCTTTATCGTGCCAAGAAGAAACATACTATTTCCATATCATTTTCTAAAGTTTAATATCAAGCCTTGTCAACTATTACATGTGAACTTCAATAGTTTCGCTATCTTTTGTATTATCACTTGCTCTTGAGATCCGAGTCTCTACTATGTTAGCCAATTGCATTATACATTGCATCTAATCTAGTGTTTTACAAAAGAACCAAACATTTTCAAATAGATTGTCACTTTGTTACAGAAGAATTATAGAGTGAACTCTCGAGGCTTTGACCTATTTTTTTAAACAATCAACTTATTGATTTGTTTAAGTTCTACCTCATTCGGTCATCCTTTCATGTCTAAGTTGGACACATGATAAATATCTACCAAACTTTAACTTGCAAGAGGATAATAACTAATATAAAGAGTTCAACTTCAACTAGAATTGATCCTCCTAACAATAACTAACTTTGTTGTTATTAGTTGCTAGTGGTTAAAGTGGTTATGAGAGTAAGGATACCAAATACATGTAATAAAATCGATGATAATAGTTCTACACAACCTATCATGATTTATACATAATTATCTTGTGATATTTTCTAATATTAGTGAAAATTTTCAATTTTGTTATCAATTTTCTCTTTGTTCTAAAATTCATGGCAAAATTGATAAAAAATAAAAATAAAAATAAAAATCAAAGTATTTTGCATTGAATTATGAACTCATTCATGACTAGGGTTTGCATTAAGAAGATGAAGTTTAGCAAGTTCTATTTAAAGAGATTAGACAAAAGTTTAAATCAATATGAATTGGTTGTTGCACCAACATAAGTCACTTGCTACATGTTAATGATGATTCAAATCTAACTTAAAGGAAACTACTTGGAGACAATGAAGAGTCATATAAACCAAATTCGTATGACCTAATAATCATTCATTGATTATAATTTCTATAGTTATTGGATCAATCAATTGGTTTGATTGAATAATACTCCTAATCTATTTCTACTTATCTGTCATGTTCAAGAAAATTTAATTATGGTAGTTAAATAACTTATAATGGGACAAATTAGAAAAAAAAACATAATATTAAATTAAAAAATAAAACATCATTTATTTTGAAACATTTTACAAATACTAAAACTTCATGTATTGTGAAACGAAGTGAGTACTTCCTTCGTAGAGTTGCTAATAGCTTCTAACTTAATCTGTATGACTCATGTACTTTAACAAATCATAAAACTCACGTACTCTAACGAGGCAGATTTGAATGAGAATGAACTTTAATTATTACTCCATTTTAAGAACGTTTTTTTTGTTCATGGGTATATAAACTAAATCTTATAATATTGATTATACTAGCAGGTTACAATGTCACAATTCGACAATAATACTAATTTTACCGGCAATTAACACTTAAGTCAAGTTCCTTTTATTTTCTACCTAATTGTCCATCCTCAGTGTTTTCCTACCTCAACTTTTGCTAGCTTGGGCTATCAACATCTATGCTTAATCCGTAATTTTATCTCGAAAAAAAATATATCGCATTGGAACCATAATTGCAGATATTTTGAAAATTAGTATTGACTGAGGTGTGATTTTTATTGGATCCCATGAAAAAGAAAAACTAGAGCCCACATGATGGGTGGCATGGGAAAGAGACTTGATCATCTTGTGTGCTAGATGAAAGTTCCTCATGCTTTTTCGCAATCATTTATTAGTGTTGGCTTTCAATAAGTAATCTTTTGCATAAAGAAGGAAAAATGAAAGAAAAGTGGAAATCATGGTAAACTCACAAAACTAAGCAATCTTTTTCAATATGGTTTTAACTAAGGCTCATTCGGACCACCAAAAGACAAATTAAAAAAAAAAAAAAAAAAATCTATGGTGCATATGCCGACAAGACCAAGAATAACAAGCACTATTTATACATAGCGCAATCACAATTCAACCTGCAATGAGACAAGACTAAGCAAAACCCTCAAGCCAAAACTCCTTCAATAGCAGGATATTAGAAAATATACAAAATGGCATATGATCACGAATACCAGCTATAGGCAAGAGTATTAGAATATCAACCACAAACTAAAACAAATCTTGAAGTTCCTGCCCAAATAATTTCCAAAACAAAAGATAGGGTACCATTACTGCCAAAGGAGGAAACTACCTCAAAGTCAGGCTTTATATGAACTAAGCAAATCTAGAAGTCTTCATCACTGTAATCTTCTTCATCCTCGTCTTCTATATTAGAATGCATCATCATTGATAACAAGGCGGCCTCCATAGGATTGAATTCTTCATCAAAATCTTCAGGACCAAAATCATCTACACCAGAAACCAATGCTTCTGACAATGCAGCCATCTGAAAAAAATCCATGTCCTCCTCATCAGAATCAAAAGGACCCAAACAAGGACCTGATTCACCAGCAAGCCTATCAGATATATCCATCATCTCAAATGGATCCATATCATCAAAAAACTCTGACTCCCTCATGATGGAATAATATTCTGCACTTGATAAATCCACCTCGCTGAGCATGTCCAACATGTCATACATACCAAAATTGTTTTGTCTACGTTGAGGTGGTGGCCTGTGATGTATCCATGTGTAAGAGCCAGGCTTCACTGTATGCTGGAAGCAACAGATATCAAAATTAATAAAGGTCAATGGAGAAACAAATCAAAGCTATATTGAAGATTAAAAATTAAAAAGGAGCCCAGACTCCAAAAGACAGATTTAAAAGTATCCTAAAGGTGACTAGTCTTTTCCTCTCTTTATTTTGGATATTTTAAAGCCTATTAGTAATGTCTTTGAAAAATTACTCACAAGTCACTTCCATTTTATCATTTAGTACACGTCTCCCATCAAGTTTGAAACAAGACAACCACCACTACTTAAATTTTTAGAAACATGGGAACTTCCCAAATCCAACGAAACAAACCACAACTCCTGATCTAGTATGGCACCAAATCATAGTTCATTATCTTTTCATTTACTACCAATACAATATCTTCATTAATTATAAATATAAATATAATAAAAGACAATAAATAACACAAAATGAAGTCCACAACTAAGTAGTTCATAGGGTAGTACCTAATATTATTACAAATGGTAATGCATGTTAGTAAAGAAAAAAAAAAAAAAAAGGCATTGTAACACAAAAATATCACTTGGTTTGCTGCATGGCAAATTTTTTGGCATTTTACAATTGACCAAACCAAACTTATAAAACCCCCAAAATTTAAGAACCAAAGATTGGCACCTCTGGAACTGACCAAAACAAATCCCCCACTCCTTATCTGCTTTGGTTACAAACTATCAATTAATTACTTTTTTCAATTTTCACCAATTATCATAACCAAGGTTGTTAAAATTAAGACTCTAACTAAAGATTAAGGGGGTGAAAATTGATAGAACACCAATTATTAATAAAATTAATAAAAGACAATATTGAACACTAAAATCACACTTGCTGTCCCAGAGACTGTCTCCTATTACACATACAGTAATACACTTGCTGTCCCAGAGACAAAAGTCTCCTACAGAGAGCATTCTCTGTCCACAAACTGAAAATAACTTCACACCCCATTACACATCCTACTATCAGATATATGTTTTTAATACAAAACTACCAACAGTTATTTTCTACAAATAACTTCCATCCTGCAGTTTTTGAATCAAAACTAACTACTGGCAGAGTAATATTTTACACACAACTGTTATCTTGAAGTTTCTAATCCAAATCTGATTTCTGAAGCAGTTATTTTCTACAAATATCCGTCCCCTAACTCAGTTCCTATCATTACAGCCTGCTGAAAAATCAGCCTTGTTGCCAAGGCTGAAAGTTGGAAACTGACTCTTCCAAATTATCTTTATCCACTTCAATAGCAATTACTTCTCCATGTTTGCTTAGGGTTTCATTATCTCCAAAAATTACCAATCTTAATTATTTCTCTGCATGTTGATGTAAGGGATGGCACTTTTCTCCACATCTAATGCATAAATGCTTGTTTTTCCTTTCCATCAATTCTTGGTATTTTAAATGCCACAGCTGCTGAATCTCGATGTCCACCCTCTGTTCTACCTGAGAATGCCAAGGATGATGAAGTTCCTTTATTGTGGCCAAATTGATTGATATTTGAGTTTGACCCTGAACTGAAATGATTTTGGCTTTCATTCCACCCTGTTGTCACCTTACTTGTAATAATCGATCCTGCATCACCTTGTGAACTGTAAAAGTAATTTGATGCCCTTGAAACATTGCTAGAAGATCTTATTTTTGCACGCCAACCTTCACTCCCCATTCCGAACACAAGTGCATTTCTTGCTGCCTCTATACTTCGTGCATACTACATAGCTTAAATTCTTGATTTGGGTTCTAAAAGTTTGTACTGGATTCTTGATTTCAGGTTGCAACCCACCCAAAATATAGCACAAATATTGTTCATTGGGTAAATGATTAACTTGCGATGAGAGAAAGTCAAATGCTTCCATAAACTCCTCCATTGAACCCTCTTGTTTCAACACAGCCAGTTCTTTGAAAGGATTTTAATACTGCCGCCCTCAAACTGTGTCACCATTCCCCAGTTCAACTACTCCCATGTAATTTTGTCTTCTGTTTCTCTCAATGGATTAAACCAATGAATAGCAGAACCCTCCATGATTAACTTTGTTAATATAATCTTCATGTGTTCACTAATATTCTGAACTTCAAAATAAGTTTCTGCCCTAGTGATCCATCCGATAGGTTCATCTCCATAGTAAGATGGAAGTTCCACTTCACTGCCATACCGTACTCATCCATGTCATCATTGTCATGATTAATTGAACCTGATCCCTTCTCTACTTTAACCGATGAACTGCTTTTCTCCTCTTCTGCACACTTGCCTGTTAATTTTCTTGTCTCTAGCAATATCATTGCAAAATTTGCCAATGTGTCATCCAAACTGGCTCCTACCTGAGCCTCAATTATGGCTCCCAGCTCTTCAATTTTCGCTTCCAATACATCCAACCTTTCTGTGTCGCATGTCATGATCTTACTCTTCACTGGTCATAGGAGATTCCCTCCTTTTGATCCAGTAGGTCAGACCAATTGATAGAACACCAATTAATAAAAATAATAAAAAACAATATTAAAATCACACACAATACACTTGATGTTCCAGAGACAAAACCTCCTATATTGCACAAATACAGCAGTTCACTTGCTGTACCAGAGACAAAAGTCTGCTACAGAGAGTATTCTCTGTACACAAACTGAAAACAACTTCATATCTCCCATTTCACATCCTACTATCAGACAATCAGATATATATTTCTAATACATAACCACCAAAAGTTATTTTCTACAAATAACTGCCATCCTGCAGTTTCTATACAAAACTAACTACTAGCAGTATTTTTTTAACACAACTGTCATCTTGGAGTTTCTAATACGGATCTTATTTCTAAAAGCAGTTATTTTCTACAAAAAAAAAAATGCCCCTAACTCAGTTCCTATAAAAAAAATTATAAATTGTGGAATTGTAAGCTCCTACTAAAAATACAGAAGTGTAATTTAACATAAAAACAGGATAACTTAAGTAACCAATACATGAAATAAATCCACCAAAATTCAGTAATTTAAATATTTATTATGAAGTTATTTTATTATTAATATCTTAATTTCTATTTTACATTTGATAATGATTAGCAAAAAAGGGTGGGGTGGAAAAATAGAACAAGAAAAACCAAAGTCAGAGGTTGTATTTCAAAGCTCCAGAACAAGCCCAAATTGTCAGTTTTAGAAACCAATCCAAAAAAAATGTAACTCAACCCACACAAACTAAAAAAGTAATCTTAGATAGAGGGAGGTCAGAAGTGGGAAAAAAGCGCGAGAAATTGAATTAAAAACAGAGAATGCAGAGAAAGAAGAAAGTGATGTGCTGTATGGGAGAGGAAAGGTATTGTGAATCTGTCAGCAGTGTGGGACTAGAGTGGTGTCTCTTGAAGAGAAGAGCTTTTTAGGACAAAAAAATACCCACAAAATGGGGGTTTCTCTGCACTGTATGATGCAACACAACCCACAATATTGTGGGTCTTCAACTCACAGAGAAATGACAATTTCACTAGCAAGCCAGTTTGCTCATCATCAACCCTGGTATGATCCCAATCTGCAGCAACCATACACTGAATCAAGCATGGAAGCCAAGTAAAATCGCAACTGTGAAAACACTGATCATAACACAGTACGCACTCCATTTGTATGTAAGTACTTAAATTAACTAAGCATAATGGAACCTAAAATATAATTGCAAATGCTTGAGCTAAATAATACAAGCTCTAAAGCAATATAGAAAAATCACCATCCTTGCTGCATGACAGAAGATTTAAAATTTTAATCATAAGAACACATGCATGTGTATGGTTCACTTCAGTTCAGATATCTGAATACCCCAAATTGTAAACTTAATTCTTACAATTTTTTTTGGTCAACCAGAATTGAGCCAATTAAGATAGTTTCCAGAAATTGAAATTGCTTAATCAAGGTCCGGAATTGCTATTTCCCAAAGAAACTATGCTCTTGGTATTATTGAAGAAAGTGGAATGGTGAATGGTAAACCAGTAGATAGTCCCATACTCTTCCTGACCAAGGAGAATTATTTTCTGACCCAAGTAGATATTGGAGATTGGTAAGAAAGCTGAACTATCTAATTTTAACCAGACCAGACATCCCTTTTGTGGTCACAGTGTGCTGAGTCAATTCCTTAACTCTCCTCATGTTGACCATTGCAGTTGTCAGAATTCTGATATTTCTTATAGGATCACTAGGAAAAGGATGGTTAGTGTATGAAAAGAGAGGGCATAAGGAGATTATTGCCTATACTTATGCAGACCTGCTGGGTCTCCTAATAGGATATGCAACTTTGGATATTGTGTTCTACTTGGAGGGAATCTCGTTTCATGGAAAAGCATGAAAGAAAATGTGGTTGAAAGGTTCAGAACTGAAGCAGAATATCAAGTTATGATCCTCACTACTTGTTAACTAATATGTCTAACTCAAACAAAATAACAACTCATTAAAGAGCTAAATATTTCGAGATTTGGAACCACAAGACTAATTTGTGATAATCAAGCAGCTCGTGATATTACATCTAACACAGTTTTCTAACAGTGTACTAAACATATAGGGATTTATTGCCATTTTATTTCTGAGAAGATAGTCTCTAGAGAAATTAGCAAACCCTTTGCTAACTTATGATCAATTGGCTGATTTGATCACTCAAGTTCTTAGAGGACCAAGTATTTCTTTTATCTGTAACAAGCTAGATGTTTTAGATCTCTACACTCGATCTTGAGGTGTTGGAAATATAATAAAATATAATTAATGCTCTAATTTCCATGTATCATAAGAATACATTGTATTCTTATAGTCATTAAAGGAGTTAATATAGTTTTTAACTTCTGCTATCATAATATGTACTCATCATGTATATAAACAGATGTTTTTTTGCTGAGTGTATTGCTTACACTTGAGCATTAGCATTCAGAAATTCCTATTGCATTTTTCTTCAGTTCTCAAGTAAACTAAATACAAATATAATATTGATGGTAGATAATAAAAAATAAAAAAAGTTGTAGATTTTTCAACCAAAGATATATATAGTCAGCCCACATATGATTATATATAAATAAAATCAAATTCAACAACTGAAGGCTTTAGAGATGGCATACGAATTATCTAAGAACGATACTGCATAAGAAATATTCTTTAAGTGAAAGGAGAAGCATGGTGGAGTACAATTCATTGCTCAGAAAGATGTTACTGAAATTAGTTAACAACCATGGTAATCAAATCTACCTGAGGAAAATATTAAAGCAAGCAAGAGATAAAAGAGATGGTAACTTGGGTACCTTGTAGAAACAACTAGCCCCAAATGGACAATTCCCATTTCCGAAGTTAAAATGCTTGCAATCAATTAGTCTGGAAAAAAGACAATAGAAAAGTTCAAAATTAAAATATCAAACTATTCAAGCTCTTATTAAACACAAATTGGCTCGCTCTCACTAATAATCAGACTGTCACCTAAATAACTGAACTCCATATATAAAGTGCCCTCCCCAATAGGAACATATGAAGAAGGAACACATCAATATTTCACAAAAATATTGGGATTGGGATACAGTGTGTGTATGCCTTTTTGTGTACTTTTGGGAGTGTTCAATTGTTGTGTGGTGTCAAAGAGGGGTGTAAGTATTTGTGTGTATGGGGGGGGGGGGGGGGAAAGGGGAGGAGAGGAG